CCGCGGAGCCCAGCAGGAGCGGGGCGCGCGCGGCCAGAGACTGAGGGGCGGGCGGGGGCGGGGCCAGCTCAGGAGGCGGGGCGCGAGGGCAGGCCGGAAGGGGCGGGGCCGGATTGAAAAGCCGGCTTGTGGGCGGGGTCAGGCCTGAGCGACTGGAGCGGGGCGGGGCTTGACGGAGAGGCGGATGCTCGGCTGCTGACCCTAAGCTGGCGTGGAATGGATGTCAAGGCTCCTGTTGTGCTTAAGGACCGAGCTGGGTTTGATTTAGGCGGACGACGTTGCTTGTAGGTCATGGGCTTAGTCATAGGATTTGACCACAATTTACCACCTTCACTTAACTTCACCTCTTCCACAGGCCAAAAACTGCCATCATTTGGGTTTCAGTCCCTCCAGAAATACTATTCGATATAAAAATATTCCTGAGAATAAGGTCTCGTTAACACCATCACGATGGCCGAAGACTTTCTTGTGAACTTCCTTCCAAAGACCCAGAAGCAGCCTTGCTCTGGTTGATTATAGGGGACAAGAAGTGGCTCTGCTTTCCAGGGTTTCAGTTTAAGGAAATCTGCTGAAGGAGCCAAATGTGGATGGCCGCAGAGGGGAGGGAGAAAGATGGAAGGGAAAAGAGCCCCACAGTGTCTCCTAAACCTTGCTTTGGGGGCCAGCTTGGACTTCCCGTTCTCCCAGCTTCTGCCACCACACACATCCATGCATCTGATGTTTACTGAGTGCCTAGGGCATGGGGATACTGGGAATAAAACAAAGATCTTTGCCCTCGTTTGTCACGCAAGTGAGAGACAGAAAGCTAAATAAGTAAACAGTAGAGTGTTTGTGATCAATGCTTTCAAGAAGAATATAGCACTGAAAGGAGATTGAATGAGGTCATTTTATTTTTTTATTTTTTTTGAGTTGGAGTCTCACTCTGTTCCCCAGACTGGAGTGCAGTGGCCGCTCCCGGCCACTGCAGGCTCGACCTGCTGCGCTCCGGCGATCCTTCCACCTCCGCCTTCCGAGTAGCCAGAACTACAGGCGCACTACTACGCCCGGCTGATTTTTTAATTTATGGTAGAGATGAGGTCTCGCCAAGTTGCCCAGGCGGGTCTCGAACCCGCAAGCTCAGGCAATCCACTCACCTCAGCCTCCCAAAGCGCTGGGATTACAGGCTGAGCCACCGAGCCCGGCTGAGGTCATTTTAAATAGAGTGGTCAGGCAAGATGAATCTGAAGGAGATGAAGTTGGCAAACCAGGTAAAAGTCTGAGTTGACCATTTCAGTCCTTCCAAGGGAGCAGCAAGTGCAAAGGCCCTGGGGCAGAAGCATGACCGGAGCAGAGGGCACTTGTTGGAGAGTAATGGGAAATAAAAGCAGAGAGGGAACAGGCCAGATCTTGTAAGACCCTAGGTCATAGAGAAGACTTTAGCTTTCACTCTGAGTAGTATGGTAGGGCTTGGGAGTACTTTGAGCTTGATCTAATTTCCACTTGGGTCAAAATTTTAATTTTTTCCAAAAGGATTTCAAGGGAGCTACTGGGAAAGACTAGGAATATTTCTTAGATAGTGCTTACTTTGCAAAGGCCAAATAGCAAGAGAGAAGTTTCTTCCAGGCACCTTGTATTTCGGATAAGCAGTTCGTTCTAACTTTATAGGGGATGTTTTTGGTCTTCAAATGACCAACTGTTGGAGGGGCAGGCCCTGACAAGTAGGGGGCAGGGCCAAGAATGCTAAACAGCCTGCCATCCCCCATTGGTCATCAATTACAGCTGCACTCTGAGTGGCCATGGCTCCAGCCCACCAAGGTCTGCGTTCTAACCATCTGGAAGGGAACAGGGAGGAGGAATTCTAAACATGGTTGAAGGACCCTGGTGGATTCCCGAGACCCTTTCACAGGATTTGTGAGGTCATTGCTATTTTCTTTTTTTTGAGTTGGAGTCTCACTCTGTTGCCCAGACTGGAGTGCAGTGGCCACTCCCGGCCACCGCAGCCTCGACCTGCTGGGCTCCGGCGATCCTTCCACCTCCGCCTTCCAAGTAGCTGGAACTACAGGTGTGCGCTACCACTCCCAGCTAATTTTTGATTTATTGTAGAGATGAGGACTCACCAAGTTGCCCGGGAGGGTCTCAAACCCGCAGGCTCAGGCAATCCACTCACCTCAGCCTCCCAAAGGCACAGGATTACAGGCTGAGCCACCGAGCCCAGCAATTGCTATTTTCATAATGCTACAATGTGACTTGCCCTTCCCACTCTTACTCTTTCAAGAGCATACTGTGAAGTTTTCCAGAAGCAAAGTGACAGGTGATATTGCAACAGACTGAATGCAGAAGCAACCTTATTGCCCTTGGCTACCAGGGCTGAGCTGTGAACAGACCACCCTTCAAACACCAGATAGCTTAGGTGCATTATATTGGTTTTCTTTCATAGTCCTTCTACAAAAAAAGCAAAGTTAAAAAACCAAGGCTCTAAACCGGGCTTGGTGGCTCAGCCTGTAATCCCAGCGCTTTGGGAGGCTGAGGTGAGTGGATTGCCTGAGCCTGCGGGTTCAAGACCTGCCTGGGCAACTTGGCGAGACCTCATCTCTACAATAAGTCAAAAATTAGCCGGGCGTGGTAGCGCGCGCCTGTAGTTCCAGCTACTGGGAAGGCGGAGACGGAAGGACTGCTGGAGCCCAGCAGGTCGAGGCTGCAGTGGCCAGGAGCGGCCACTGCACTCCAGTCTGGATGACAGAGTGAGACTCCAACTCAAAACAAAGAAAAAATTAGCTGGGTGTGGGAGCGCGCGCCTGTAGTTCTGGCTACTTGGAAAGCTGAGGTGGAAAGATTGCCGAAGCCCAGCAGGTCGAGGCTGCAGTGACCAGGAGTGTGCCACTGTACTCCAGTCTGGGCGACAGAGTGAGACTCCAACAAAGAAAGAAAGAGAGAGAGAGAGAGAGAGAGAGAGAGAGAGAGAGAGAGAAAGAAAGAAACCAAGACCCTGGCAAGAGGGTGTGAAGTGTGAATCCATACTCGTTCCAGGAGCCTTCACCCCTCCCCATGCCCTCTGCTGCAGTTTGTGGGGGTAGAGGAGCTTGCTACTTTTGCCTTCCACCTCGAACCCCAAAAGGGCAAGATCTACCACCTAGCAACCCCTTCCCATCACTCCTATTTCCCTTGAGTGGATCCAGGTTCCTGAAGACTGTGGTGAGAACTATTGGGATCCCACAGGAGTTCTGAACCTCAGAGGGCCATGGCCAGGGCACAGTCTGTGAAGAATGCACATCTTCCGGCTTGACACCCCTTAGGGATGATGCTGGGGCCCAGTACCTGGAAGTAGAGAGAAGAATCAGTGAAAACCCAGAAGCTTCAACCACAGTTGCCCAAAAACAGGGAACTTAAGACTCAGGCTGTAGCCAGCACACAAGTGGGCACTGTTAGCATCACAGACATCATATGTAGATCGCATTGACCTTTCTTCTCTTATCCAAATTCCTAAGCGGCTTGAGGAGTTACTGCTTGATAAGGACTCACTGGACAGGGTTTTATTACCCTATTGTTTTCCAATCTGACTCTGGCCTAACATCACATAACAAATAAAGAAGGAAATCATAGTATCCTATGACCCTGAAAAGCCATCTCTTGTGGATTCCTAGACTCCAGGGAGCCTTGTAAGACCCTAATCTATCCTTTGCCACATACACGACTTCATCTACATAGGAACAAACTTGGAGTGTCTTATCAAAGCATCTTCTCTTCTGCTTTCCCAAATTCCTTGAATAGGAACTACAAATTATCAGTCAAGAGAACTTTACATCCACCTGGGACCTGCAAAGACCCCTTGGAAAAGTCCCTCCTTCCTGGGCCAAACCAATGAAAATCTCACATGTATTGATTCCCGGTTTCTTGTAATTTCTGCCTTCCTAAAATGTATATGACCAAGCCACCATTCAACCACGATGGGCATACGTTCTCAGGACCTTCTGAGGATGGGTGTTCCCAGGCTTAAGTCCTCAAGTTTGGTTCAAAAATAAACCATCTCAAAATATTTAACAGAGTCTGACATCATTTCGTCAACATTTATCACAGGCATTTATTATGAGCTAAGACCAGGGCCTCCACCATCCCATACCTCTGCTGTTACCACCTCCCTCCCAGATGCCTGCTGCAGGCTCTCGTGCCAGGGAAGACTAGAGGTTGGTGCAGGTAGATAAGTCAGATTTGGAAGGAAAGTGACATGAAGAACAGGCATCAGATCTGGCTGTGAGAGGGCAGAAGAAGAGAAGATCATCACCTTCAAGTCCGTAACCCCAAGAACGGGGGCACCCAAGACTGACACAAAGGTTGGATAGGTTGTACCCAGGATCGGTGTGGATTTTACATTTATCCTATCTTCCAGCAGATGGCAGCAAAGCATCTTCAGTGGTGCCTTTCTCTAATTCTCACAGTCTCTATTTGGGCCAGCAGTGGCCCTGGGAACCTCTTTGCCTACTTTCAACTAACACCAAAGTCTAACACCAAAGGAGGGGGAGGACAGTCGATTACCCTAAAGTGTGCCTCTCTAACCATGTCCTGTTCCGAGGCGTGACCTTATGATTTTGATACAGAGCCCCTCTAATGTCTATCCATATTGTCACAGCCCCTAGAGAAGGGCATGGCCAGGAAGCAAGCGCTTCTGTACATTCCTGAACAATATTCCTGAGAGCTAATAAAAGGTGTGCGTCCCTTATCTCCTATGCACTCCCAGTGAGTAGCTTCAGGGGATCGTTGACTTCCCTGTAGTCTGTGCCCCATCAACTGAAAGATGCAAATCTTCTTTTACTCCCTTTTTCTGAGTGGTTATAAGTTTGAATAATATGGTATCAATGGAATCGTAAGCCTTGTGAATTATATAACTTTTGTATCGATGTAATCATAAACTTTGTGATTTGTGTAAATTTTGCATGATGCATGATGTCTTAGGTTCTTTACTCTGTGGCAAGCTTGATTGCCGCTTCTGCCAGGCCCAACTGATAAAAGCGATGAGATACCTCTGATATCTGGCACCAAGAAGTCTGGACAGAAAAATGTCACTATGGATAAATGTGGCTAAAACCCAGGTTCTATACAATGCTCTGCTGGTCACATGGCTAATGTATAGGTACCCACAACTCTGGAGTACAAAAGTGAATGTAAAAGCCTAGAGGGTGAGCAGAACCATTCTGAAAGACCTCAAATCCGGCTCTGCTCCCTGGATTCCAACTCAGAAATAAACTTCTTTCTACTAGCTCCCTGCCCCTTTGTTTTATTGGTATCAAGGGGAGCAGTGAGTCGGATCATAGCAATTTGGTGGTTGCTGGCTAATGAATTTGATTAAGTTTCCCACTCCTGAGATTTTAAGTTTCACTCCATGTAAGGCCAGATAAAAGGGGTTTGTGGATAGCTTGTGATCCACTTAAGTCAGAGCAGCTTTCTTCCTGCAGAGAGAGGAAAAGGTAGAGCCCTGAGTATGGCCTTTTTCAGGCCTTATCTCCTGCTGTGAGCTTTCCCCGCTTCCTGTGGTCCCAGTGTGCACACAAGAAGAAAACCCAGTCTCTCTAAAGGGATATTCCTTCCTCCTCCCACTGTTTCACAAAACCTAGAACCAAGACCTCATCTGGACAACCCACAAAACCCCCACTTCCCTGACCTGAGTCCTCTTCCCCCACCTGCCTCACCTGGTCCAAGCCTTGAAGTTCCCGCTGAGTGACTCCTTCTCAGCACCCCTGTTCACCCAGAACTTGTAGGGGATGATGGAGCTGCAATGAATGCGGCACTGGGGACAGACCCTGCATGGTGAGGTGGGGTGGAAGGCAGGAGACAGTCAAAGCCCAGAGGCCGGCCCTCCATCCCTGACATGGCCTTGATGACAGCCCGCAGGACGTCCTGCCGGTTCCTCCTCCAGGTGCCCAGGCAGCCTAGGCAGTGGGTGTGGGTGCAGTTGGGCAGGATGCTGAAGACCCGCTCTGCCTTTGGCTTGTCCCACACTTGGTCCATGCAGTTGCCACACCCCACATCCCCACTGTCCCGCATCCCCTGCAGTCACAGGCAGGGTCAGACACCCCACCCCAACCCACAAATACAGCCAGGGGGCCATAGAGCCGTCCCTACCCCTACCCCCATCGGGTCTTGGTGTCCCAGAGTCCAGAGAGCCATCCTCTGCCACCCATCCTCCGCCACCTCCTGTGCTTCAAGGTAGTGGCTCTGCACCAGGGCCACAAACTCCTGGGCCAGGTCTGAGTCAGGCGGAGACTCCCAGGGATGGCTGTGGTCCCCGTCAGCAGCTGTTGGGGAAACTGGATCCAGTCACTCATTCATGGCGTCTGCGAGCGTTTACTGCAGGCAAGGCTCTGTGGTAGCCCCACGTCCTGCCCCAAGTGGCTCAGAGTCCAGTCAGCATTATAAGTCTCTCACATAACCATTTAGAACTGCACGGCCCAATATGGCAACCACCAGGAAGTTCTTGAGCAACTGACAAGGGGCTAGTCCGACTTGACAAGTGCTGCACGTGTAAAATGTGAATACACTTGGGATTTTGAAACTTAGTACAAAATAGACTCAAATATATCATTAGTGACTTTTTATGTTGATTACACGTTGCAATGATAATAATGGTAATATTGGGTACATAATTTTTTAATGTATTGTGTGAATAAAAGATGTCATTGACATTAATTGACAACTAGAACATGTTAAGTTACATGTATGAATTATAAAATGGCACAGCTGCTTTGGAAAACAGTTGGGCAGTTCTTCAAAATAAAGCAGAGTTGCTCTATGCTCCAGCAATTCTACTCCTAGATATATAGATAAAAGAAAAAATGTATACATGAAGGTTCATATGTGCATTATTCATAATAGTGAAAAAGCAGAAACAATTTGGGAGGCTGAAGTGTGAGGATTGCTTGGGCCCAGGAGTTCAATAACAGCCCAAGCAACAAGCAAGACCCCATCTCTATTTAAAAAAAAAAAAGAGGCTGGGCACAGTGGCTTACAACTGTGATCCCAGCATTTTGGGAGGCAAAGGTAAGAGGATTGCCCGAGCCTATGGGTTCAAGACCAGCCTGGGCAACATGGCATATCGTCTCTACAATATGTCAAAAAATTAACTCAGTGTGATGGCGCATGCTTGTAGTTCCAGCTACTTAGAAGACTGAGGCAGGAGGATTGCCTGAGTCCAGCAGGTTGAGCCTGCAGTGGCTGTGAGCATACCACTGCACTCCAGCCTGGATGAAAGAGGGAGACTCCAACTAAAAATAATAGTAGTCATAATAATAATAATTTCTGAACAAGGAAGCTGGGCATCGTGACTTACACCTGTAATCCCAGCACTTTGGGAGGCCAAGGTGAGAAGATTGCTTGAGCCCAAGAATTTGAGACCAGCCTAGGCAACATTATGAGACTTCATGTCTACAAAAATAAAAAAATTAGTCCAGCATAGTGGTGCACACCTGTAGTCCCAGCTACTCGGGAGGCTGAGCAGAAAGATGACTGAGCTCAGGAGGTCAAGGCGGTGGTGAGCTGTGTTTGCACCACTGTACTACTGGACAACAGAGATCTCCAACTTGGAAAAAACAGTAATTTGTGATAACAGACCAGTATGTCCTTTTGGACACTCACCAGAAGAAATTCTAATAATTGTAATGTTTTTTTTTTGTTTATGAGTTGGAGTCTCACTCTGTCGCCCAGGCTGGAGTGCAGTGGCACACTCACGGCCACCCCAGCGTTGACCTGCTGGGCGCCAGCGATTCTTCCACCTCAGCCTTCCAAGTAACCGGAACTACAGACGCACGCTACCACACCTGGCTAATTTTTGATTTATTGTAGAGATGAGGTCTCTCTAAGTTGCCCAGGGTGGTCTCAAACCCATGGGCTCAGGCGGTTCACTCGCCTTGACCTCCCAAAGTGCTGGGATTATAGGCTGAGCCACCAAGCCCAGCTGGCTGTAATCTGACTTAAACCAGCATGGCTTCAATTTGTCTCTTTAGTTGCTGTTGTTTGTTTAGGCCATCCACCCACATGCCTCTTCACATACCAATAAACTCAGTTTGTCTGGGGGAGATGTCAAATTAGCTCATCTGATCCTCAAAACAAGCCTTAAAAGTTAGGAATCATTTTTCCTGTTTTCTTTCTTTCTTTTGAGTAGGAGTCTCACTCTGTCACCCAGGCTGGAGTGCAGTGGCACACTCATGGCCACCACAACCTTGACCTGCTGGGCCCAGGAGATCCTTCCATCTCAGCTTTCCTAGTAGTTGGGACCACAGGAGCACCACCACACTCGGCTAATTTTTTTGATTTATTGTAGAAACGAGGTCTTGCCAAGTTGCCCAGGCTGGTCTCAAACCCCTGGACTCAGGCAATTCTCTCGCCTCCGGCTCCCAAAGTGCTGGGATTACAGGCGTGAGTCACCATGCCCATCTTTTCCTGCTTTCAAAAGTTGATGCTCTGATAAGTAAGGTAACCAACATGAAACTTGGAATGCAAGCCAAGACCATAGCTCAGGTGTCCTCACTCAGTCCAGCAGTTCTCTAGTTTCCTAGGACTGACTTGCCATGGGGGAGGGCTACTGGATTTGGGGAACTTCCCAAGCCCAGTTCTGAGGCCAAGGGGCGGAGACAGAGCAGCCAGAGCTGACAGGTAGTGCAGACCTCAGGAGAAAGCCAGCCGAGTTTGTGGCTGGGGAAGCCCATGCTAGGGCTGGAGCCAGGACCCCCGAGCAGTGAGCCTGACAGTTGGGACTGGACTGTGAGGTGAAGGGGGTGGTGGGATGGGGCTGGGACTGAGAAGGGTGTGGCTGGAGAAGGAGGGACAAGGTGGAGGCTGCAGATGGGCCTGTGACCAGGGATTTTACAACTTGAGAGCCTAAATTTAGCCCAGCTGCGGCCTTCCTGACCCAGCACAGGAAGGAACAATTAGAAATCCTTAGTAAACAACCTCTTTTCCCCCCACCTCCCTCTTACTACCTGGCTACTCTTCTTCCCAGTCAAGGAAAACTCCTTCACAAGGAGACCTCAGGCTCCACAATTATCCCTTCTTCACCAAAACAGCAGGTCTCTTTGGAGAACGAATCCCAGTTGTTGGCAATGTGCATTTGCGCTAAGGTACGAACGTCTGTCTGATGGAAGGCCTTGCTAGCTAGCAGGCCTCGGTATACTCAAAGGAATAACTCTCTAATGGTGGAATGTTTGACCTGAAGTGTTTTTTATGCACATAATTATGAACATCTGGCACCATGCTATAACGTGCTGACCGGAAGACCAATCCCACTCACATGGAGCTCATTGGTGTTTCTTTTCTTTTCTTTTCTTTTTTGATCACTGTGTTGTCCAGGCTGGAGTGCAGTGGCATGACCTTGGTTCACTGCAGCCTCGACCTCCTGGGCTTGAGCAATTCTCCCGCCTCAGCCCCCCCAGTGGCCGGGACTACAGGTATGCACCACCATGCCTGGCTAATTTTTGTATTTTTTATAGAGATGAGGTCTCGCTCCATTGCTCAGGCTGGCCTCGAAATCTTGGGCTCAAGCAATCCTCCTGCCTTGGCCTCTTTTTTTTTTTTTTTTTGAGTTGGAGTCTCACTCTGTCGCCCAGACTGGAGTGCAGTGGCTTCTCCCAGCCACCGCTGGGCTCCGGCGATCCTTCCGCCTCAGCCTTCCAAGTAGCCGGAATTATAGGTGCGCACTACCACGCCCGGCTAATTTTTGATTTATTGTAGAGATGAGGTCTCGCTGCCCAGGCGGGTCTCGAACCCGCAGGCTCAGGCCATCCACTCACCTCAGCCTCCCAAAGGCGCGGGATTACACGCTGAGCCACCGAGCCCGGCTCTGCCTCGGCCTCTTTAAGGGCTGGGATTAACGGCATGAGCCACCATGCCTGGCCTGTTTGGGGTTTCTGAGCAAGAGGAGAAACCCTTATTGGGTGGAAGAAGGAGGCAAGTGGGGTACCTCTGCGCTAAACAGTCGGCCCCTGAGCCAGCCCTGAGTCAGCCGGGCGGCCTTGGTGTGTCTGTCCCCCTCTCTGGTCGCAGTCTCCTCCTGTAGTCCATGACGGGGAGGGCGATGATCACTAGACCCTTCCAATGTCAGGGCAGGGGGCAAGGAAGCCTCTCCTCCCCGATGTACCCCAAATTCTTAGAGATTGTGCTTTCAGTGGCCAGGCTGAATCCCAAAGAATGTGCTCCCACCCTCCCCTGTGTTTGCCTGAGACCCAGATTCCTACCTGCAAGGCCTCAGGAGCGGGGGCTGCTCTCCCTGCCAGTCTGCAAAGCCCATCCCCGCTGCAGCCCCTGGCGAGAACTGGGCAGGGCTGTCCTAGTGCCTCTTTATCCCACCCTCTGGGGCAGAGCCAAAGTGAGGAGGGGCTCTGCAGCCAGGCATGGCCCTTCCCATGGCCCCAGGCCCACTGGTGGGAGGGGCGGAGGGCAGAGACAGGAAGGTTTGTGTGGGGGGCTCCCAGTCCGGACTCCCCAGGGTGTGGGTGGGTGCGAAGGCCACCAGGGATGTTTAGGTGATTGCTGGAGGAAATTGGGGATGGTTTAAGGACTTGAAGGGTCTGGAGAGGGAGGTTCCTGGGAGGGGGCCATGAGGACCCGCAACTCAGGACTGAGGGCCTGGGAGAAGTGAGTTGTGTGGTCCGGGGGGATGTAGAATTGAGGAGGCCACATGAGAGCCTCCCCACACCCCCAAAGCTGCAGGAATCCTGCTTGTGGAGCTGAGGTTGGGTGCAGAGGTTAGAGGGCAGGTGGGAGATGGTGTGAGCCAGGTGGGGGCACAGGGAGGCAGATACAAGGCGGCCATATCCTGGACAGATCCAGGAGGCTCTGGGAACTGCCTCCAGGCCTAAGTGCAGTGACACAATCATGGCTCACCACAGCCTGGATCTGCTGGGCTCAGGCAATCCTTCCATCTCAGCCTCCCGAGCAGCTGGGTCTACAGGCGCATGCCACCACACCTGGCTAATTTTTTTTTTTGCTTGTTTGTTTTTAACTTTTTATTAGGGCAATTTGAAATGTATATAAAGTAATATACATTTATATAAGAATAGCATAAAAACTCCTTTATTCAAAATCACCAGCATTCTGTCATTATTTATCATCTATAACTCATTCCACTCCCCATCCACGACTTATTATTTTTTATTTGTTAATTTACTTCTGACAAATAATTTTATATGTGTATGGGGTACAATGTGATGTTTTGATATATGAATATATTATAGAACGATTCAACCAAGCTAATTAACATATTCATTACTTCATCAACTTGTCACACATTATTTTTTAAGATCCTTTTTGTTTGTTTTTTGTTTTTTGAGTCAGAGTCTCACTCTTGCTCAGGCTGGAGTGCAGTGGCATGTTCACGGCCACCGCAGCCTCGACCCGTTGGGCTTGGGTGATCCTTCAGTCTCAGCCTTCCAAGTAGCTGGAACTACAGGCATATGCCATCACGTCTGGCTAATTTTTCTTGATTTATTGTAGAGATGAGGTCTCGCCAAGTTGCCCAGGCGGGTCTCGAACCCGCGGGCTCAGGCAATCCACTCACCTCAGCCTCCCAACGCGCGGGATCACAGGCTGAGCCACCGAGCCTGGCACAACTTTTTTTTTTGTAGAGACAAGGTTTTACTATGTTACCCCTGGCTGGTGGCAAACTCCTGGGCTCAAGCAATCCACCCACCTCAGCCTCCCAAAGTGCTGAGATTAGAGGCATGAGCCACCATACCCGGCCCTGAGTTCTTTCTACAAGAAGTCACTGTTGCTTGGTCTGTTTGTCAGTGAAGGCTGCTACCTGAGGCTCTGTCCAATAAGGACGCTCCAAACTGGATGGTAGGAAATCAGCCAGTTACAGTCTCTTTTTTGGGTGACATAAATTCCTTGTGTATTCAGAGTAGGCAGGTCACTAGGACTGGGGCCAACCCTGAGTGACCCTCAGTTTGTGTACTTGCTATGAAAATGCCTGCTTGGCAGCACTGGTCTGGGAGTGACCCTAAGCTCGCTGTCCCTTGTTTGTGAACAGGGTCTTCAAACAGAGGCTACATGCTTTGTCCCCCGACCTCCTGGGGTCTGGCCGGTGCCGGGGCAGGCAGACACTCCTGGACATCCACCAGCCCATGAGGCAAACTGGACAGGACACAAGGGAAAAGACTGACTCATGCCAGGACACCCCAGCCTCTCATGGCCAGCTTGGGCTGGCAGATGGAGAGTACCTGTCTCTGTGAGTCTGCCCCCATGACTTGTCCAGCACGGCCACAAGGGTTGGGCCCTGAGAAGTGGTCGCCTTGCGTTTCTCCCCTCCTCCCTGGGATGGAGATGCGAAGCTGTCACTGGGCATGGGAACATTGTTCCTGGCGGATGGGCATGCAGGCTTGGCACTCGAGCCGCCTGGAACGCCGTGAGAGGCAGTATGCTTCCATACTTCCTCTTCCAGGTGAACACACTGTCCCTTGAGTTGTCTGCAGCCAAGAAGCCTCATGATCTGATAGAGTTGTCATGAGGATGAAATGAGGCCATGATGAAGCCGGCTCGGCACAGAGCCGGCCTGCAGCTCGATGAGTGCTCATGGCCAGGGAGGGACGGCGGGCTGGGAGCCAGGAGGCCTGGGGTGACCTTGGACAAGGCGCTCCTGGGCGTGGCTTCAGTCTCTTCTACACAGGATGTGTCTGAGGAGACAGGCGGGTAGGGAAGGGACCACGACCTCCAGGAGCCCCGCCAGCTCTGACTACTTCTGAGACCCCTGCGTTCCCTTTTTTTTCTTTTGAGTCAGAGTCTCACTCTGTCGCCTAGGCTAGAGTACTGTGGCATGATCACGGCTCATGGCAGCCTTGACCTTCTGGACCCAGATGATTCTTCTGCCTCAGCCTTTCCAGTAGCTGGGACTACAGGCATGTGCCACCACCACGTCCAGCTAGTTTTTTAATTTTTTGTAGAGAAGAGGTCTCGCCATGTTGCCCAGGCTGGTCTTGAACTTCTGGGCTCGGTCAATCCTCTTGCCTCAGCCTCCCAAAGTGCTGGGATTACAGGTGTGAGCCACCGTATCCGGCCGGCATTCCCATCTTACTCCTCCAAAGCGCATGCTCCCTCCACCAGACTGCACTGACCTGAGTGGGAGATAAGTTGGGAAAGTTAAAAAAGACCAATCTAGTTGGGAGTGGTGGCTCACATCTGTAATTCCAGCACTTTGGGAGGTGGAGGTGAGAGGATTGCCTGAGTCCAGGGGTTTGAGATCAGCCTAGGCAGCTTGATGAGACCGCATCTCTACCATAAATCAAAAAAATTAGCCGGCGTCTGTAGTTCCAGCTACTTGGAAGGCTGAGGCAGGAGGATTGCCTGAACCAGCAGGTTGAGGCTGCAGTGGTTGTGAGCGTGCCACTGCACTCCAGCCTGGGCAACAGAATGAGAACCTGACTCAAAAAAAAACACCAACCAAATAAGAGGAATTCACTTAAAAGTTCAAGGGAAGATTTTTTTTTTTTTTTTTTTGAG